AGCAGGAAATAAGGGAATATATTCTATTGGGATTATGTCGGAATTGCAACCCCTTGTTCCCAACTACCTCCCAGTAAGGTTTGAACTCGTTTGCAACCTGCTTGCTTACTTGGCTTTACTTGCGGCCCCTGCGGCAAACTGAGTCGGGAGCTCATGCACCGTTTCGGATGCAAGTGTGCGTAAGCAAGTAGGCCAAAGTGAAATGAGCAGTTCTGGATCGCAAAAACATGTGAGCCATAGTCTAAACTCCTAGTATCCCCCTAATATCCCCTATAGTAGTTCCCTATATAATCCCCTATATAATCCCCCTTTAAGGAGTTTAGACTATAGCTCATGTTAGGTCATGCTTTCAGCTAGAATCGTGTTGCCCTCACGGCGGTTCGCTGCATAGGGCCTACAACTGATAACTTCAATATTCACGAACTATGAGATTCCTAGGGGTCCTTCCCCCTATGCTAATGTAATAGGAATAATAGTAATAGTAATAGTAATAATAGTATTATGGGGGATAATGGAAAAGAAAATGGAAACTCAAATAACCCCTACATAATCCCAGGTTCCATTTCATTTTCCATTTTCTTTTCCATTTGATTCTCCATTATAGGGCCTTAAACCCTATATTATTGGGTGCCATAGTAACCCCAAATAAAATATCATCAATCTCCATGATGCCTGGGCTTACCACTGCTCAAATCTCACTTCAAGGCCCCGGGGTTAGGTGACTGCATCTACGTGGCCCCTGGATGTCTACGTTTTTTTTGGGATATACCCTAGGAAGAAAGACGTCCAGGGCCCAGGTGTAAGTATGACCCTATCATAGCCTAGTAGTGCCCTCTGGCAAGTGGGCTCCTAAACCGTAAACCTTAATATTGGGCTCTATATAGGGGTCACCCTGATTAGGGAGACAACCATACAATAAACCCAGGGTCGCTCAAAGCGGGGCAGCCGTGCAAGGCTTCATTGGGCCCCCCAGCCTTTGGGGATCGATCTCATTACCTGCTGCGGGCTTCTGGCACCTGATGACAAGAAGGGCGAGACGTTGGGGGGCAGGAGGAGCGAGGGCTTTGGGCTCAGTGTGTTGGAAGTTAAAAACCCTAAACCCCTAAACCCTAAACCCCTAAACCCTAAACCCCTAAACCCTAAACCCTAAACCCTAAACTAAGGGTTTTGGAGAAAGGTTCAGTTTAGGGATGATACGCTGGGCCCTGACCCCTCAATCTTATGGCCCTTCGAATTTAGAGTTCTCGGGTCCAGTCTAGTCGTCCAAACAAGGTTTGAGGCAGGTTCTTCTGTGATCTACTTTGCTGGTACATATCTACAATTACGCGTAACTTCTGTAAAAAAACAACTTCTGAGTTACAATGCGATATCTTTCAAAATTGAGGCTTGTACGTGACACTGCTGTCTTGACATGTGCTCATCACAGTGTGTCATACTTATGCATGTTGAAGCAGGATTCCCCCTACATGCCCTCTCACGGAGGAACGGTGACCTCCTCACTGAGACTGGAAACCCTCACTTCTTCATGAAGATGAATTAAAGGCGCAGCGAGGCTGTCTTTATTACGCGCGTCGCCCCTCGAGGACGGTTCAGCATAATCCAGAGGACCTGCTCCGGATTGATCTACACCCCTTGCCAGCGTGATGCATTATGCGCGACCTTGACGGATGCTTTTGGACATCTTCAAGCCCCTGAAATAACACTAAATGCTAAATAGTAGTTTCTATGTTTTCCATATGATTTTCCACTATTGGGGTATATAACCCCTAAATCCTAAACCCTAACGCCTCAAGAAACATGATTGGCCTGCTGGTGCCGGAGGCTTTGCATTGCCGGGCATGACCTGCTAGCTCTTAGTGGAGGGGTGGGAGGTCTGGAGGCTTTGGGGAATTCGGTCAAGTCAAGGACGTAGGTTTTGGGGTGAGGCGAGGTCCTAAGCCAAGTTTGTAGCCAAACCCTGCTAGTATCTCGGTTGGTTCTTTGAATCCAAATGCAAAGTCTAAGAGGTATTGGTTCACGGATTTTTGAAGTACGGGGTAAGCCCCTGGCGCTCCCTGGAAAAAAAAGTAACAAAAACAAAGCGTTCACCTAGGTCATCGGGATGCCAGTTCATTGTCCTTTCTGTTTTCATATAATTCTCCACAATTGGAATGAAAAAGCCCAAGCACGTGGAGAAGCCCTGTATGAGCAACAGTTGGAAGCCCTCTGATCATGCTTGGGAGTGTTCTGCCATCTCGTTCCATATCGTTTTGCGGTACTGCGGAGCATGGTGAAGCAGACCGTCTGGATTTCACTAGGCTTGGACTTGAAACCCCTAAGCCTAAACCCTATATAATCCTATTGTAGTAGTTTCCATGTTCTTTCCATTATCCCTATTACGAACCCCAATATTACCCCATTGTTTAACTTTTCATGAGCCACATGAAGGACTGGCTCCCTCTGCCTCATATGCCGTCCTAAGATGGTACATCAACTGCCGCAAATAAAAACTATCTCGTGGTGTTTAGGAGGGAACAAGGGAATGGATTATAGGGATTATTATTCGGGATCATATAGGGACTACTATAGGGATCCATTCCTCCATTCTCTCCTAAGCACCAGGGAGTTTTGTGGCACTTCAGTTGGGTTTTGAATGTCGTGTTGCCACTAATTCGGATTGAAGCACGACAGCACCGAGCTCTCTATTTGAAGTGGACCGTCTCCGACGAAACGCCTGATTTTCAGGAATCTTGAGAGGCGTTGATTAACCCAGACCCCTGATTAATAAACCCCCCTCCCCTTAATAGGGACTATAAAAGGGATCCTAATATTTAGGCCCTTAAAAGGAGGGGGTTTATTAATCATGAGACTACATTAGATTTGTTTGAACAGACGGAACGTTAGTTCGTCGCTCATGTTATCCCCATGCGCGCGTTGGCCCGGCCTGAGGCCGGCCATAGCCTGCCATTGTGGCCATTCCCCCAGCTTGTACCTGTGCAAGCCCAGGTTGTGGCACGGATATCAGCTTGTATGAGATTGAAATAAGATTTGGGGCATATACAACCCCAAGACGAGAATCACATGTGAAAGAACAAGGAACATGAAATCGAAACTGGGATTGCTAGCTGGTCTTAGCCCCTCGCATTGTTATGGCTTAGGATTTGGGGTATTGATCTGATCTTATTAAGGCTGTACCGTACTTCTGCCTTCGGTCTACCAGAGGAATAGCATCCCCCGTCAATCCTAAAGCCATGATGCGAAACAACGCGAAGCTCTTGGCAACACCTTTTGAAATCCTTCCCTAGGGATCCAAGTAGCCCAACGTAGGTAGTATTTACAGACTTGAGGGTCCAATGTTGGCATTATTTGTTTACTTGGATCCCTAGGGCTTCTCAGGGGTTGACATGGTCATCAGGACGAGAGCCTCCCGTCTCGGGGGCTTTGGGATTTGGAATTTTGCACTCTTTCGCGAGTTCAGTGCGAGGATCCAGGTCACGGGGCATGATGCCAATGATGCTCCGTACTTTATGAACCTGTAGTCGCTATTCTTAGGCAAGGCTTCAGAGCTGAACACTCTCAAGAATTGGTAGCAGTAAACAAAGCCTGAAATAACACTCATCATAAAAGCATAAGTGGAGTTCTGTTTTCAACCCGTTGGCGACTAACAAGGGCAACCAAAGATTATGGTGTGCGCCGGCCCCTGATGCAAAAAGTCAAGTTGTTGCTGAGCAGATCTGAGCAGCCTCATCTTTGCAACACAAATGCCAGTAGTGAAAACAAAAAGCACAACTCTGCGAGGCAAAGACTGCTGCAAATGTCAACCATTTCGGACAACGTGAATTGGATTCCCATTCCCTGACCCAAACCCTTCCCGTAAGGGTCCAAGTACCCCACATAGTATAAACTGCTGGGCCCGAATGGGTTCTAATATGAGCCATCGCCTAAACTCCTAGTATCCCCTTATTAGGCCCCCCCCCCATAATGCTCCCCTATATAGTTCGCCCTATAATCCCCTTTAAGGAGTGTAGACTACCTAAACCCCAAAAGTATGTAAAATAATAGCCCTAAACCCATAATAATAGCTATAAAGGCCATGATTTTACATACTTTGGGGTCCAGGTATAGCTCATATGCATCCTTTGGAGTCTAGCCTTTACTACTTGGGCACATTGGGTTAAGGGTTTAGGGCGTTTAGGGTTTTTATGGGTTCAACTAGTACCCCCTCTATACTACCCCACCCTAGGTTCCCCCTTAGTTAACCTTAATTAAGCCTAACTACCCCTAAATAACCTTAATTAAGGGGGGAACCTAGGGGGGTAGTATAGAGGGGGGTACTAGTTGAACTCATGAGGTTTAGGGCTCGGTCCCGCAGTCAAAGTCCACATCGCTACAGTCACCCCTGCGGCCGGTCATGCCAGCCCACCCCAGGGGGCTCCGATGTGGGTGTCTTTTGGGTTTTCTTATGGTTTTTTTTCGCCAGGGAGTATAATAGACAACCCAAAAAAGAATTACATAGGAGCCCTAGGGATCCAAATATCCCAATGTAGGTAGTATTTACAGATTTTAGGGCCCAATGTTGGAATTATTTGTCTACTTGGATCGAAAAGGGGAGAGTATAATATACAAACCCTAAACCGTAAACCAAAAAACAACTACATAGGAGGATCTGGATAGAGCAAGGAAGCCTGCTGAGGAAAAGTGTGACCGCCAATGCCGCTTCCTGCCACCTGGACGGGCTGCTGAAGAAAACTTGACCCCCTTCAGGTCTTCGGCAACACTTAGGGTTTAGGGCTTAGGGAAGAATATGGCTATATTAGGGTTATATTGGGATAATGGAAAAGAAAATGGAAACTACTATATTGTAATGGGGCATGTATATGGGTTATATTGGGATAATGGAAAATAAAACGAAAACTACTACTTTTCAGGGTAAAGGGTTCACGGAGCACATGAAACTCACTGGCTTGTGGCCTGCGGGCACCCTTTCTTCAGTTCCTGTTCTGCTGTGGCATGCTGCGGAGGACGAGATCCTGGAGCTCTTGTTCGGTTATCTCAACTTCCTGCGGGGCTTGCCAGCATGGCCGCAGGATGGGGGCTTGCAAAACTTGTGTGCAGGGCAATCGAAGACAGCTGTTATGGCAGAAGGAGCTCCTGGCAGAGAACCTGCAGCTCTCAGAAGCTGCATGGGCAAGCCGGGAGACGGATGGGCCCATGGAAGCAACTGTCCAGCTGGCGGGGAACATGCAGGCCAGGGGTACTTGAAGACTCAAGACTTCTCTTCACGCTTGTCATTTTCATAGCTGGGTCTGTGCTTTCCTCGCCCTTTGAACAGCTACACTGTGAGATGTGTCCAAATCGCCTGCAGAGGATTGGAAATTTCCGCGTGACTATCTGCGGGCCAGCACGCGGCTTCGGGACGGGCCAGGTTTGGCAGGCGCAATGGGAATCAATAGGGATAGCGACCTTTGACCCTAGATGCTAAGTGTGCTCTGTTGGAGTTTCTGCTGAACATTTGGTTTGGACTTGATGCCAACACTGCCACCGGGTTTCAAAGGCACAGTGGATGCCCTGCTGCACTTCTTGCGCGCAGACAACAGCATCATCACCGCAGCTTGGTCTGCACGTGATGTCGGCTCAGAAAAGTGTGACACAAGGGGCCAGATATTCGTATGTACTGGACAATTTCAAGGGCCCGCTCTGCACAGGCGGTCTCCCGCAAGTTTGAGGACGCTGGGAACGAGACAGAGCCATGGCCGACGCCTCAGCCCCATTGAGGGTTCTTGAAATTAAAGCATAATATATCTGCTGCAACCCGCATCTGTCAGACAGGTATGGTACCCGCTTTCGGCGGAGGCCACTATCGCAGCAGCCGCGCTGGCTGCGCGTTTCTGCAGCTCCAGGTTTAGGCCAGGGATGGCGCTTTGGACAATGCACATGCGATGGAAAAAAATGTCTTCTAGGTTCGGGTAGTTTCCGTGATTGTATGCCTGTGTGGTCATAACCCATGGCAGGCCTGCCAGATCCAAATCCATTTCTCCCGCGCAGCCTGGAGCTGAAGGAGTGGAAGCGTTGTGAAAACCCTGTTGGATTCGAAAAGAGGGGTGCGCTCCAGTGGGACAGGCGCAAAAAGTCAAGATTTCCTCAAAGAATGCCATCGTTCTGCCGGAGAGCAAGATTGACAAAGTCTGGCAGGCTTTCTTCAGGCTCTTCGTCTGGGATTTGTTTGCAGAAGACTATGTTAATCAACCAGGACAGGATCTCAACGGCAGCCGATCTTCAATCTCGATAATCCCGCCCCCTACAAACAACACTTGCCATTGTGAGCAATGAGTCTGAATAAGACTTGCCTTGGTAAGTAATCCATCTGCAGGCTTGTAAGCCCTGGAAGACAAGCTTGAAAGGGTCAGGATGTCTAGTCAGAATCAGGATCTGTTTGATTCCTATAATTGTTCTGCAAATGCAATATGAAACAGGCCCTGATGACAAAAGCCTTGTAATGAATGGTTTTCTGGCCGGGGAGGGGGGTGGGCGCGCGTTTTCTTGCAGGGCGGAAGCGATCGCTTGCAGCAATGCCCTGTCTTACTCCTACCTTGCTAGAAGGCTCAAAGGGGCCGAAGAGAAATTAAATGTGAGGGTATCTGGAGTGAAGGGGACAGCTGCTCTGAGTAAACCGCATCCCTAAGGCAAGACACCGAGCCACTCGCCTTGACTTGGATACGCTCTCAAGATTGGCTCTAAGGAGTTTGTTGCCAATGTTGTTACATTCTGTGTGACAGCAGCGTGCAAGGTATGGAGTACCCAAAGCTGGAATCTTCATCGAGTTGCGGACAAAGTATCCGCGAAGCACCTTGTCCAACTTGCTGTTGTGTAAGATTGACGAGTTGGGGGTTACTGGCACTCCCCCAAGTAAGAACGTTCACTGTATTATGTCAATAGTCGCGAAGGCAGCGCTCGTGCTGCAGCCTGTGCCCGAATCTACGAGTCCATGTTCCGTCAAGCACTGCAGGAGTGAATGCTGCATTCGCTACATCTTGCGGACATTTGCAACTATTGTTCGCTTCTCTTTGAGTGGTCAGGAGACCCTGCTCTACGATGCGGAAGTTGCAGGTCTTTCAGGTCTGAATCTGAGATCTCTGCTGCATCCCGCGCGTGGTGCAGGTCTCGCTTTCAACTTCACCACCTCCATGCGAGGGGTGGAGGACCGGAAGTAGCAAGCACGTGTGTGTCAATGTGCAAGTGGTAATTCTTCTGGCCGCGCACCAGATGTGGATCCATATGCAACCCCAACACACCGGGACTTTCGGCGCCAACATTTTTGAAGGCCCTTGTCACCATCACCATGTGACCCGCCCGAAGGTCATAATTTGTCCTCGAGCTTCACTATCACAAAAATGTGAAGTCCTTAGTCATCCCTAAGCTCTACACTGCCAGCTCTTCTTCGGCGGCTTCGACAACCGCCTGCCAGACTTCGCGTTAACTGCGCTGGGGGCGCTCCTGGCCTTTGACGCTTCTGATGCCCGAGGTGGGAACGTGGGGGTTGAGAGCGTTTTGCGGTTTTGCTGGGTTCTGGAGGGAGTTATTGTTCGAAGGGCTCTTGGGGATGATGCAGGCGTGCAATGGGATTGTCATAGAGGTTTTCGACAGCGGGCTTCTTTTGCCCCGAAAAGGCAATGACAGGGGGTTTGAAGGCGTTGTCTCGATACTACAGGCTGCCTATGCGATTGTTGTTAGACGCATCTCTTCTAGGGAGTACTTCGCAGCGGAACTAAGAACGGTACAAGTGCAGCCGTTGTCTCCTAGACAGGATGCTCTGACAATGATGAGAAGGATGATGACAGCGATGAAGGAAACCCTCATCATCAAAAGCATCATCTTTTGACTGATCATTTCCAGCGCGCTTCTGGCTGGCGCACATCATTGGGTTCACGCAGCAGTGGTGCCAGTAGCAATTGTTTGTGTAGTCATGTATTAGGGCACGCACAAAGTGAGGACGGCAGAATCTGCCGCATGGCATATGTGCTTTCGGATGTTACATGTCATCCCATTTGTTAAGAAGCGCTTGCTGTCATCTGCTTGTAGTGCTCGCGGATTGACCTTACTGCCTGAAGTCGCTTCGGCAGCTTCAGGCCGCGTCCCCCGCCCCCCGAGTCGATGACGTCGGCCTGATGCAGACTTTCTCATAGGAGATGTTGAACAGAACTATGACCACACTCGTAGACTTGGCATGAGTTATTCTGACGTCTGCCAACAGGTTTCCGGGCCCAAGCAGATCTACTGCAACGTGAGCTCGACTCCTTCGCAACTCAGGCCTCGGGGGGGTCACAAGCCAGTAAATATTAAATATGGGGTTACTACGTGGGTTTACTGCAGAATTTGCAAGTGTTATGGTGCATCAGGGAGTCATGGTGGCATCCTTGCCGGTTTAAGTTGGGACAGAAAGTGAGTGATCCAATCAATGTATCGTCGGCCAGAGCGCTAGCCACCGTGAAAAATCTGACTGTGCTTGAACCTCTACAGCAAGGGTTCCTGTGAATCAAGCCTGCCTGTCCCCTTCAAGGCACCAGCTGGCCAAGCTGCCTACTGGTCAGGCCCGAGCTTGCAAATGAAAGGGACAAGGAGCTAGCAGAATGACAATGTCAGCTGTCATGGCAGAGTAGGCAAGGCGCTGATCTTGCGTATGAAGTACACACATGGGCGTTTGAAATTGCAGAAAGACGAATCCTATGAGTTTTGGGGTAAGATTCGTGGCCACGGAGTTAGGCGCTGATGAGTGCATGTGGTAATGGGCTATTGCAGTCGTCAGTATCGCGGTTCAACCAGCAAAAACCCAACAGTGCATCAAGCAATAATAGCTGCGCAGCTGGTGGGGCCACTGGTTAACCTTGCATATCCATTTTGCAATGTAAGTGAGATTCCTCCATTCTCCAGCTGCCAGCAGCACGGTGTCGAAACCACAGGCTTGGCGACAGTGGTGGGCGAGATCTCTCTGAAGGCCTTGCCCGAGTTTTGTGCACCATCAACCTAGGGACCCCTACGAATCAATGGTCTGGACAAGTCCTGACCTGCAGTCAATAAACGTGGCAGTGAGAAAAGCAGATTCTGCCCAGCTAGAGGAGAAGTCACACACGCCTACTAGGCTATTGAGACTGATCCAAGCAGTCATACTGTACTTCATAACCATCCGGCGGCGCTGCAGACAACACATGGGACCACTACAGCAGGTTGCAACAATGAAGCTCCCATCAGCAAGGGTTCAAGCTGGGCCAGGAGCTGCGGCAGGCCTTAGACGGCCTGACGCACCTTGACAGACTGGAGAACGGCGCTTTCCGCTTGAGGTTTGAGGTCATGAGCATGATTGAGTCTTGCTCATTGCAGTGCCAATGCTGCTTGCTTGAACTGCGGATATAAGGAGGGGAGTGTTCCTCCTCCTCCTACCACTGTTGCTACTACCGCTGCTACAAGGGACAGTCCATGAGCGTTCTTACGCGGGGAAGTGCAAACGCGGGCGGGGTGTCCTTGCAGACTTGCTATATTTCAGATGTCTTCGTCTGTTGCCACAGTTCATATCGCCTTGACGTCCGGTTGTCGTGCTAAATGTGTGGGATTCCTGAAATCATGAGGTCCCAGCTTTGGGGTTTTGGTGGTTTGGAGCAGTGCCTAGTGGTCTTTCTTGTACTCACGCTACAGCGAAGGCAGGCTTCTGCAGCAGCGCTGAAAGGGTAAGAAGGCCGGTTGTTATGACTTCCGTTGCCAAACGGCATCATAGGTCCCATGTTTCCAGGACTTCCAGTAGCTTGCATATGCCAGGGGTTCCATGCGGAAACGAGCTTTGTTATGACTTCTGCTTTTGAGTCGTCACTTGCGGTTCCTCGCAGGAATGCTAACAAAACTGGTTGTGTGAGGGCTGCGGCGTTCGTCTGTTCTGCTCCGGTTTGCCACTACTACTGCTACTGCTGCAGCTACTGATACTCCTCCCTCCTCCTCCAACAACCACCACGATGACGACGATGAGGACGACAGGATACGATTACGATTACGAGGATCACCACGGCTGCTACCCTATGCTACTTTGGGGTCATGATCCGCGGCGCTCCTTACATTTTCAGCCCAGGGCCCGAGATGTTGCAGCCTTTGCCTCAGCCCTTTGGACCTCGCCGCTTGGACACGATTTTGCTTCCCAGTGCGATTCAAGGGCTTAGGTTGTCGGCTTAGGAGTCAGGATTCAGGGGCTGGCTTGAAGGACATGGGCACTTCCTTCGAGCATGGTTCTCATACGAAGCTCGTCGATAGACTCAGGTACTTCCTAGGTTATATGCTGTAATCACTTGCTTCTAACTACCACTGCACAGTACACTGGTGTAGAACCAGCAAGAAATCGGTGCAGGCTCCGAATTAAAGTAAGTTCCACAGAATTCTTCAGAGGGGGCTCTCATAATAATCCACTTCAACCCCTAAGGCGCCGCTCAGAATTCCTGGAAACTCCAAATCCCAATCCCACCCTCAACGCCATCATTATCCCAATAGCCACTGCATGCTGTTTGTATGACCCGGTACCCCAAATTTGAGACACCCAAAGCCTCATCCTCTACACCTCACATCTTGCACCCTCAGCCCTTAGCCCTGAACATTAAGCTCTACACACAGCCCTGAAATGGTAGCTTCTCAAAATAGGAGACTCCAAAATAGACCCTAATATATCATAATCCTTAAAATCGGAACCCCCAGAAGGGGCCCCTAAATTATGGGAAGCTTTCAAATCAGCCATGGTCTAGGCCAGTGGTTGGCGTCTCCCTTTGTGAGGGCAACTTGCGCCCACAGGAGGCAGAACCTTGGCCACGGCTTTCCTATCTTTAGATTTTGGACCCCAATGAGCTATAGTCTAAACATGTCTAAACTCCTTAAGGGGGGTTATATAGGGGATTATATAGGGGACATAGCGGTTCTCTGGGGGGATAGTAGGAGTTTAGACTAGAGCTCATATATAGCTCATATAGTTAAAATTGTATATAATGTGTATATATATATATATGTATATATCCCCAATAGTGGAGATCATATCCCCAATAGTGGAGAATCAAATGAAAAAGAACCTGGAAAGTGAGAGGGTAATTATGAACATGAGGTTAGGGAGCTGTTCTACAATTTAGAAGGTGATGAAAGATTTCTGGGAGGCTCTCGCAGGGCTGCTTGGTATTGTTCGAGGGGTTCCTAGGCCGTTGCAATTCAGTGGAAATGCTTCAGGCTTGACAGACTGAGGTTTCCTAAGTAAGGGCTTAGCCTGGGTTGCTGTTAAAGAACTTTAAATTAAGCTACCATATTGGGAAAACCTTATCATTTACTAAAAATACATATAAATGCCCATTATGGTAACCTAATTTAAGTTCCTTAACAGCAACCCAATAGCCTCCAGGAGTTCGCAATGATTCAGTCCAAATGTGTGAGAGCAATTGCAGTACTCACGTTTGGAGACGCTCGCAAGAGGACAACACTTACATTGACGGAACTGCTGGTGCGGTGGGTACTGTAAGCTTCATACCACACTTCCCATAGTGAAACGTGACGAAGGCCTTACAGGGTTGCTGGTCTTTCCTTTGGGCCATGAACCGCAAAGGACAGCTTCATCGCCAAGGTGAAGGAGGTTCTGAAAGCTGAGAGCTTCAAAGTAGCACCTGAGTCCGCTTCTTGACAGCAAGTGTTCGGTGAGACGTTGTTGAAAGGGTGTACCAGCAAAAGGACAACAGGAATCTTGGCAGTCGTGATAGACTGCCGTGGCTATGATTGCGACGATGCTGGCGACGATGACGACGACGATGACTTCTTCTTCTTCTTTTTCACTCGCCGCAGAAGAGTCCTGCGATGCGTCTGGCATCCTTATGATTTTTCATAAGGGAATCCCAAGGTATTCTTGGGTTTCGGCGGCTCCGGCCCGACAGGCCCCATGAGCGAGCCACCGTATCCCAGTCATGATATGAGCTGTGTTAATGAACGGAAATGTATGACACTCAGACCATGGAGCCATGTATCTAGGTTGGTCGCTCAATCTTCATGACTGGAACTGAAATCGTTCCGAACTCTGTTCGGACTGAAAGTGAAGTCACGAGCTCTTAATTCCAAAAAAGAGGTAGGCATTGCTGAGTATAGTGTTTAAATCCCGGGGTCTGAGTCTGACAGCCTTCTTGCCGTCATCTGTATGGTGGGATGGAATGCCTTCCTCGAAAAGGACGGCACGGTAATGGCCCTGCAAAATGGAGTCCCCTAGGTGGTACACTATGGCAGTAACCTGATAGGAGGCGTGGGCTACAGTTATGCCGTTATCCGAAAAGTACGGCATTGCAAAGGACCAAGGAGGGGTAACTCTGCCTGTGCTCTTAACGCCTTGATCGGTGAAGCGGGCTACTTGCAGGGCCAGCATGCCGGGCAGTTTGCTCACTGCATGGAGATTGGCCTGAGCTCCCCATGTGTCAATTAGGTGCTGCAGGCTGGTGTCTGCTGCTGGGTGCAAGGCCGTGGATAAAGGCAGTGGCCACGTGGTACCACGGTCGTCCGCCTGGACCAGATCATCCCTTATTTTAACCCTGGATTCCCATCTACCAACCTCATCCGCTTGAAAGACTCCGGGCTGCAAGAACTGCAAAAACTCAGACGTGTCATGCTGCCGTCCTGGGTGGGGCCAGGAAGCAGTAATGGATTGCCATGCCATGGTGCTCCATAGCAGCACGGGTTTTGTCTGAGTTGAGAGCCAGCCGATAAATCTGATGAAAGGAGAATCGGCCAGAGTCGATCGCTGGGCTTCCTGGAGGTAGGTAATGGTCCACATCAAGGAAAGGATATTAGCATTGGCATAACAGAAGTTGCTAGTGTTGCGTAGTTGAAGGGACTTAATCTGCTGACGGCCTTCAGGACGTAGAAAGCTTACAGATCTTGAAGCAGTCGGTCGACTGTGTTCGCTAAAGGAGATCTGCCGAGCTTGGCCGGGCGTAAGGTTGCCGAAACGAGGTGGGTGCACGAGTTCCTGCTCAGCTTGCCTAGCAGGAAGAACGCCTGCTGTGATTCCTGAGATCTGTTTTGGATCTCGAGCGTGAACGGCACGATTTCGGAGGTCATCTCCGCCGTGAGCTTCCGCAGGGCGTGGAAGCGAGCTACTACCTGCGGGTGGACTATCAGCATTTTCAAGCCGGCCAAAGAATCCTGCACCTCCTTGAAGCTGAGGGGGGCTTGACTCGATGCTTGGTACTCTTTCTTTTCCGGATCCCATTGCAGAAATGGAAAAGATCCGTTCACCACCAGGCCTCGTTTCTCCGCCACCTCGCGCAACTTTGGGTCCGTCTCTAGCTGCTTGACTCTGTTCAAGATGGCGTCCAGCATCGAGCCCAGCAAAACAACTCTCAGGGGCTGCGTCACCTGATTGGGAGATTTCTCTTTCTGCTCCCGCCAGTGCTTGCCCACTAAAAAGAGTGCCTGCACGATGCTCCAGTCTTCCGAGGCCGGCTTGCTCTGCTCTCGATTCTTGAGGAACACTATCAATTGCGTGTCCTGTTGAAGTATCGAGAGACTGTCCTCCTGGCGTATCAGAAGACGCCCCATTGCCCGGACTATGTTTTTCAGGTCGTCCGAAGAATGAGAGGAGCCCTGATTGCGTGAGTCTCCCCACCATTGTTGCTGCTTCGGCTTTCTGTCCTGATTGTATCCCTGTCCCTTGCCTGGACCTTTGGGCCATTTGGTCCTCTGCTGCGCGGCCACCTGGTTTTCCTGTTCCTCCTTGCGTTTCTGAGAATTGTCCACTGGCATTGAGGAGTCCGTCGCCGCATCCGCTGGAGGAGCCGTGGTCGAGGCCTCCGATCCCTGGGTGCTTGGGATCGCCGGAATGAAGCCCGCAAAAGTGTTCAGCTCCTGTATCGCCCTGACGAGCTCCTCCTCACTGACTTGAGTGGTCATCTCGAAGTGTTGTTTGGCCTGGCGGCCGGAGCTTAGACGAGTGGCGATTAAGGAGGTGACCACAGGCCCACAGCACTGGACATGCATTACGGTGAGCCTTGGCCTGTGTGGAATATCTCTCGCCGCACCAGGTACAGGGATTGGCAGGAACTTGACTGTTTCGAGCCCAGTCTATGATGGCCTGATTAGCTTCCTTGATGGATGCATGCAGCTTAGTGGCATGACGGCTGACATACATGGGAGTCTTGCACTTAACCCCGCACTCTGGACAGTAGCTTTGCTTGCACAAACCTCTAACATGAGTAGCGAGTGGTGTAAGGAGGCCTTGTTTGGCAATGGCAATGTTATCAGACCTATGGAAGATCGGAACGCTGTCGTCCTCTGCAGCATCAGTCTCCGACGCGTGCGTCCCATGAGCAAGACTGCTCGCTGCAGGAGAGGTCGCTTCTGTTGGAAGCATGTGTAGCACCGGACATGCTCCTTTATTAAAATGAGACATATAAGCTGGCCAACTACTAAATTGTTTCTGGCAGTGCTTAGAATGGGGACGGCCATCAACAGAGTGCTTAATGTACTCATCTTTCCTCGCCGACCTCTCCGGATATGAGGACTTGGTGAGGGCTACGCTCATTTCGGGATGAGCTTTGCCCACATGAGTGCGGAGCGCGTGAAAGCTTCCAAATTGCTGACCGCAAGCATTACACGAGCGTTGGATCCTGACCACCTGAGTGACTTCGGTCAGGTTACCCTTCTCCCCTCTGTTATTCTCACTGTGAGTGGCAAAATCTGACAATAGCTGGCTCCATCTCTGTTGAACTGTTGTGTTTTGCAAGTGAAGCAGGGTTAGCCGAGATTGCTCTACTCTTCGCAGTGCCCTCTGATAAAGGTCATGTACAGGATCCTGCGCGGAGTAGCGTTGTGCCAGCGAGGCATTGGTTTCATGAGTGAGGTGAGCAGGGTTCCCCGTAATGATCCTTAGCTGCCTGTGCACATGGGATCTTAGCTTGGATGCGCTCACCTCGTCTAGACCAATGGCCGTCAGCCCGTAAGTTGCGATGCTTAGGACACCTGCGCGCCACAATCTAAGTCTTTGCCCTACCTCAAGTTTCTTAGAGCATAGGAAGGTATGTAGCCTGTGGAAAGCCTGCCAAGACAGCTGGAGTCTGTGTTTCATCGTGGCCCTCTCGAAATGCTGATAGCCAATGACAACCCCCAAGTAGGTGTGTTGCTGTTTGATTGGCAACAGTACCTCTTGTTGCCCATCATGCACCTTGAGGCAGCGGCCTGACTTAGTTTTCCTGAGGAAGGGCTTGATTTCCGGTCCGTAAGATTGGCCCGATAGAGCAAGAAGACTAACCGTCTTGTCCGAGGAAACTTGCATGCCGGCTTGTCTTAAATCCCTAAGAATGAAGCCCACTTGCGCACAGGCGTTCTTGAATTGTCTGGGCTGATCGAAACTCCATTGCATGTGCAGATCGTCGGCAAAGCCTGTGAGTTGATCTACGTTAAGGTAGCGAAGCATTGTGCTGAACAGCAACAAGGAATATGCCGCCCATAATAGCGGGGCTAGCCCGCATCCCTGCCGAATGCCGGATCCCGTATGGATAACTTGGCTGTGCTGATTGCGCTGGAACTTCATACAGGCATTGTCGTGTATGAACATTATCAGAACTATGAGATCTGCCGGTGCATGAGTTCGCTCAAGAGACCGCAGCAGGAGGGTGCGTGGCATGCGATCAAAGGCTTTTGCCATGTCAAGAGACAGTTGCATGCCCCCTGTGAAGGAAGCTCGGGCACGGGTGCGAAAGGGGTTGTGCCGATTCTCGGCTATCCTGATTCTAATGTTGACGCAGTGTGCTGCAACCCGATCTATCGAATCCAATGTCTGCCGCTTAGTGAGGTATGCGAACTGGGGCATGTTAAAAGCTGCTTCCTCCAGGAAAGGCTTGAGTCTATCAGCGGCAATTCTGGCAAGCGTTTTGGGTATAGCAGGCAGAAGACTTATAGGTCTTAAGTTCGACGGAGAGGTTGGGGGCTTCCCTGGTTTGGGGATCAAGACCGTATGTGTCTCATGCCACGCTGGAGGGAACTCTAGTTGACGAGGTTGAAACCGGATGGCCCAATCTTGGTGGATGATGTTAACTATGTTATCCTCCCCCGATTGCCAGAGTAAGGCCGGAGCTTGGCCGACCGGCAAGGCTTTCTTAGCCGAAAGTCTGCGCAAGGCTGAACGAATTTCTTCCAAAGAGAAATTGAGTGCGCCCTGCAAGTGCCATGCCATCTGCACTTTTGGAGTTGAGCTGGAGAAGATGTCTTGAAAGTATGCGCAAACGCTGGCTAGCTCAGCCTGATCCGACTGGAGTCTACCCTCTGGTCCCGTAATGTGGATTGATCTTTTGGGCTGTTTGGGGCGGAGGGTGTTCATACACTTATAAAGATGTGTGAGCCCTTTTCGATCGGCTTCAACGGCATCCGCGATTTGGGCCTCTACCTCCTCTCGTTTCCTATCCCTTGTGCGCTTACGCAGGGCAATGTTCTGGGCTTGAAAGGCAGCGGTGCAGAATGGCTTGCGTAAGCTGGCCCGTGCGTGTAGGATGCCCTTGCCTTTGCAAGGTGACAGCCTCTCGACGCGGCATAATGCATGGAGGCAGCACTGTCTCCGCCAGAATGCGGAGGTGCCTTTTCGACTCCCAGTAAACTTGAGGTTGGGTTCCTGCGTGGAAGTTTGAACAATAGGGAGCTTGGGAGCCGTCTGCTGGCACATCTGCCACTTTGCGAGCAGCTGTTGATCCAGCTCTTCAGCTGAGCAGCTCAGGTCGGCTATCTCTTGGCAGAATCTCTCCAAGACTGCAGGTTGTCGGGCACATGTGCGGCGTACAGAAGCAGCAGTCAGGCTGATGGTTGGGGGCTGCTTGGGGATGGTTGGCCATGGGATAGTGCATTGCACGGGGATATGCCTAAAACCTGTTAGGGTGTACTATAGGGGAGTGCAGGAGAGTGCAGGCATTAAGGCGCGAAAGGTTGCAGGGATTTCTGAGGAATATGTAGTCTATCTGGGACCCTTCTCCCTTATGCGTGTAGAATGTACTGGCCTGTCTGCCGGCTCTGCGCCAGGTGTTCACTGCATTCAGCCCGGACGTCTGAATAATTGCTTGAATAACAGAAATATCCTTCTTATGCCAGTGAACTGGGCCTGTGCCGGGTCCTACATGGGGGTGTAGGGCTCCAAGCTGGCATTGAGATCACCCGCTATAATTAAGCTATTCCTCTTCGGAACAGATGCAATCCAGCTTATTTTGTTCCAGACGTCCTGCCGTTGCTCAAGCAAAAATTGCTCCGGAGAAGAGGACTGATGTTGCAATTCCTTCTTGCCTATTTTTTTGCGAACTGGTATACATTCAGGAGGTCTATGGGAGGGGTCGTACCAATCCTTATATGTTGGAGTCTACCCAAAACGAGATCAGCGAATTTGACTGGGCAGTCCTTGAAGGTGTGTCGACTTATCATGGTTAGGACGCCCCCTTCTCTAGAACCTGTGCCGGAATGCATGCAGAGCCAGTTAGACTCAGTGAACTCAGTGGAGGAAGCCCAGTGGGTCTCCTGCACCAGGCAAACGTGTACCGGTTTATGTTGCGTTGCTTCGTCCTGAAGCCACTGCAGTAATTCCGCCCATCTGGCAGAATGGAGTCCGCCTGAGTTCCAGGTTACAATTCTGAGTCCCCGTTTGCTTTGAGAGGAAGGGATTTTCCGGCTAGGGGCATGCTTTGTCTCCTTGCAACGTGTTGTGCCCAGTGTGGAGGCATCATGTAGCCGACCTCGATATGACACCTGTGCATGAGTCTGCGATTGCGCCCTTGCTCTTAGAAATGCAAGCTTGCGGGGTGGCTTCAGGGCCGACCTGCTGCGAGGAGCAGCCTGAGCTGCATGAAGCATGGCCAGCAGAATGAGCACGAAAAGCAGTCGAGGTCTGCGTCCTCCCGTGCGGCTGGCACTCAGGGGGTGCTTCTTGTTGTTTGGGGGAGCCTTGCTGATGCCTGCGGCTCGAAGGCTGCGGACTCTGCGATACTGCCCCAGGCATTTCCTAACAGTGCGCCAATGCTGGGGGGGCAAGGGGTGAGGCAGGAGGCTTAAAGCAATCCTAATACACAGAAGGGTCAGGAGGCCCAGTAGGGGAGACATGGGGTCATTAGAGGGCCTGTTGCGCAATGCGAAATTATAACTGTTGTGTTGAATTGGTTCGAGCTCGCTTAACATTTCGTGAAACTGAACATGCGGATTCCCTTGGGGAGTCCCTGTGCTAATTCCTGGGCCGTGATGGTTCGTGTTTTTGTACACTTGCAGGGTATCAAAACATTGGACTTGAGGGCGTCGGCCTAAAACTCCTCCAGCCCTAGCATCCACGGACTTATCAGATCGAGACCTAAAAGTTGCCAAATTGAGTAGAAAAAGTTGAGCCAGTCTCAGCTCAGCTTCGTGTCCGCCTCCGGCATTGGGACCGGAGCAGCTCCAAATGTTCCACAACCAAGTGTGAAAGGCCCTCAGAGCAAGTTGGTTATAGTGCGTCTCTGCTTCCTCTGGCCTGACTGCTGTCGTAATTGGCGGGGAGCGTGTCCTCCCGTGGAGGTTCGATGTCAATGCCTCTAATAAGGGCAAAATCCAGAAAAGCGGCTTTGTCTTCCGGTCCGAGCATGGTGAAGATGAGAAGCGGCTTAGCGTCTCCCGTTCCCCACGAAGCTCGCTCAATGGCTCTACGAACCAGTGATCCAACTTGAAAGCCGTGCTGTCGCTGGATCCATCTTTGAATAAGGTCCAGACCAGCTTCGAAGGCCTTGTCGCGGTCATCGCCATTGACGCGTTCGTCTTTGATCCAGTACGTATAGAACCACAGATCATTTTCCCCAACCGGATGGGAGGAAAGACGCTCCCAAAGGTTGATGAGGATTTGCAGTTCGTCGCGGCCATACTGAAGTTTGTCCGCAGTGCGGCTGCAGATATCGCGAATGCCTGCCCAGGTTGCCTTGGCTGATATGGCTCGTTCAGACAGGCCTTGGCGACGGAGGTCATGGCGATAAACCAGAGTGCAGATCTCCTTAATGATGGTCCTGACGAATAGCATCCATTTGGCCTTGAATCTGGTCGTCTCCTCTTGAGTCGGTCCATCTCGTGAATCTTGCATGCGCCGTTTGCTCGCTTTCGGCAGCTGCCAACAGTAGCGGGTATTTATCCGCCAGAAAAGCCCGCACCTGTGTATGGAGCTCTGCAGGGAGAACCTCTTTCGAAAATTCCAGCAGGTTTTTCGCGTCCAAATCAGCGGTGAGCTCGTAGACCAACTGAAGTATTTGTCCTTTTACAACCTCACTCGTGCAGACAAAAGCCGCGTGATCGTAGCTGGCCCCTATGGCGGCAGGGAGACTTTACAAATCTAAGGGCTTGTACGGAGCCGAGATGCTTGACGACGATGACGATGATGATGATGATGATGATGCTCATGATCATGATGATGACGATGATGAGGAAGAGGACGGTGGCGATTAACATGGCGGCGATGCTCACGATGATGACAGCACCTTCGGCGGGATGATGATGATGATGATGATTATGATGACGATAGTTGTGATTAGTGTTGGTTATTGAAAATGCATGGTGGCTTGCTGCCCATGACATGTGGTTCTGAAAAGGATTTGTGGCTCCTTCCGCGGCATTCTCATTCCAGGGAGGTGTCGGAGATGATCACTACTGCGCTTGCTCAGTGCCCCTTGCATCCCAACAGTTCGGTGGTTGAATAAAAGCTTGCAGCTTTAAACCCCAAATCGTAGTATCCATGTTCTAACTATCCCTTCAGACCGAAATCCTGAACCCTGGACTCTAAATCCTCAACCCTAAACCTCTACTGCTTGAGACTCAGGAGTGGCCCACGCCACGAGTCGCGAAGATCCCGGTCAACAGCGTCGGGCCAGGACGCTGGCCAAGAATAAATTGAAGCTTCAAGCGTTCGTTGGGTTATGTTGAGATCATGATGAGATTTCAATCTGCATTCAGATTTGTTGGTGGTGTCCTAGAAGACCTGCCTTTGACGCCCTGCTTATGATCGTGGGGGGGAACTCTGCTGCTTGTTGAGTTGACATGTGTCCTGACAAAGCCTGTTCACTCAAAGACATGGCCCAAGTCAAGAAGCTCCGGTAATGCCACTGCGTGTTCGTGAAAGGCGTGGTCCTGGTCAACCAGATCATGGACCCAACCGAGGATTGCAAAGGGTTGCTGTCCAGTCATTTGTCTGCGCCACATTTTCCTCATCTGCTTATTTGCTGCGCTAGGAGAACTCTGCTGTGGAGGTCAGCTTCCAGGGTGGTCCCTTCCTCAGAACCCATAATTGGTTGCACGCTCACCATGGCTCAGTAATACCTGCTACGCTGCTAACTCCATTCCCTTTAACATGCTGTCCTGACCTTGTGCGTCATGCCTGCCAGGCAGCACCCGCAGTGGGACTGAAGCAGACTTCAAGCGCCTGTCTGAGCTGCAGGCAGTCGGGGGAGCAGACAGGTGACCCGTAGAGGTAAGAAGCTAGCTGGAAATGAATTAAAAAAACGAGCTGCCAGGTCCTGGCAGCAGTCCTCAGCGACGAGTGTCTCGCCTGTATGCAGAATTTTTCTGAGGCCCTGGAATGAGCCCTTGCCCGCAGCGGGTTGCAGGAGAATTGTGCTGTGTAAAACTGGAGCTAAGGTGGCTCCCAAGTCTTTGCGTTCTGTTTGCGTAAGTACCTGAAACCTCAGGTTCTACGAAGAGCTACGGACGCGCCAGCAGTTGGGCTATGTGGTTGGTTGCCGTTTGGACCGACGAGTCTGCTCAAGCTGGAGTATGTGGTGCAACAAGCGGCAACCGATCTTTGCATTTGAGAAGGCAGTGCATGCTTGTTAATTGAAGATGATCCTGGGAGGACCGGGGAGAAGGTACCTTTAGTTGCTCGGCTGCAACTACCGATTTCAGACTCGGAAGGATGTCCCAACATGCATGGAGTCTACACGGCTCGGCTGGACTTGATTCAAGCACGCATGGTCCGAAACCCTCAAAAACGGGTGGCCGATGACCCCTGCACTCAGAATAAGCAAGGGATTAGGGCGGAGACGGGGAGACCTTAGTTGGTTGCCCTTTAAGCACATTGCCAGGAGGCCTCAGCCAGGTAGCTTGTTATCATGATGCTGGCCTTACCCCTTCCACCGCAAGGACTGGTTTTCCTGGTGCAAGGAGCGGTTCTTGGCCCTTTGCAGGCCCGCAGAGTCTCTGTTACTGCGCAGGCTCAAGTCTTGGCTCGATTCCTCACACTGCCTGCCGCAGCTTACACAGTTACTTACTAATTCTTGGTAGATATTTTATATGGGATTAAAGAGGGATATCTAAAGGGATTATATGCCCTTATTTTCTACCGCGAACTAGCAAGACTAACAGGTTCTGGACAGGATCGATGCCTTCCTGGATGGCGCAATGGGCCTCATAAATGTTCCAATCTCAGAGTTGAAGAAGCTAGGCCAGGGAGCATACCCAACGTATCCAAGGAGATGAAGGTTGCCTGAATTTACGAGCCGCTAGAGAAGTTGTGATAATCCCAGTTCCCATTTCATTTTCCATTTTCTGTTATATTTGGTTCTCCACTATGGGGGGGGGGGGGTAATGGTATCCAATATAACCCCTATATAACCCCTTATAGTGGTTTCCATTTTCTTTTCCATTATCCATATATAACCCTTTTTTACCCCTATGTAACCCCTAGTGTCAGGAAAAGTTCATCACCTAAGCCCTAAACCCTAAACCCTAAACCCTCATCCTCCGGGAACATGAGCAGATGTTTAGTTCATCTGAGCGAGCCGAGGCAAAGTCTGAGCAGGACATAGCAGCCCTCGCAGATTCACTGGCTGAGGCGGGCTTACTTGCTTTTTTTGTAGGGTTTAGGGTTTAGGGGTAGGGAATGAAGGATTGGAAAAAACATGGAAGCTACCACATGGTTGGGGAGTATCTAGCGGCTACTTTAGGGACAGACCCTCAATTCCCGACTACCAATGGGTGAATTAAGGGTTCTGGCGGAGGGCGAAATTTTGAAGTTTTTCAAATGCTTCTGTGTAAGCCTTCAGAAGGATCTCCACAATCCCAATATGGCCCCTTTGTGGTCTCTGGGTCCCTAGGCGTACCACAACGCTCAACCCTAAAAGCAAGAAACATTGAACCCCCCATTAAACCCCTCAAATCCTAAACCAATTAAACCCCTTAAAATTTACACCCACCAAAGCCCTTAAATCCAAAACCCATTAAACCCCTTAAATCCTAAACCCACTCAACCTCTTAATTCCTAGACTTAGGTCAATCGGGCCTTAATATAGACAATAGTCCTTGCACCCATTACTGGGTGGGGGATTGACCCAATCCTACACTCCTTAGCCCTATGCTACAGAGGCCCGGCTCGTGCGTCCTCAGCAGCTCCTTGAGTCTAGCCAGAGGCGCTGGGCCGAGATCTGCAGCACCCTGGCGGAAAGATCTAAACTCCTTAAAGGGGGTTATATAGTGGATGATAGGGGATTACTATAAGGGTTATTAGCAGGGATACTAGGAGTTTAGACTATGGCGGAAATGGATGGCAGCTTAAACGGGCTTACGGCTTACGGTTTGGGGTTTGGAGGCTAGGGTTTGGGGCATTTCCAATTTGGGGTCGCATTTTGGGAGGGGGTGTTCATGATATGACAAAGTTGACCCCCTACTTTTGGAAACGCTCAAATACAACAAAGGGATCATGGGATGAAAGCAGGATCCTGTGAGTTTTCATTGAAATTGAGGTTAGTTGTGGTTAGTTTGTTAAGGTCCTTGCGATAGTGCAGGGAAAGCATGAGCAGCAGATGAGATCCATCATGACCTACCACAAGTCTACAGCACGTTATGGCAGAAAGGGTCCAGCGCTGGACCCCTCTTTTGTCTAAGATGCAAGGCCGATCTTTCCGTTGGCAGCGCCGCTTGGAGGAGAGATCGGAGATGATCAAAGGTCAAGAGGTCGCTGTTGATGTGTTCCGGTACGGTCTGTCTTTTTTGGTGATGAAGCTCACCCGTTGCCCTAGAAACAGTGCATGATGCCTCAGCAGTGCTCTTGCAGCAGCCGTACATGGCATAGGCATGCATGTGGCAGGGATGGGGGTCACGTAACAGGCTTGAAGTATCCCAGCTCGGGCGGCACTGAGCAGCCTAGCTTCAGTCATTTGGACAACAGCGGACAACAGCGGTTACGGCGAATGGAGGCTGCCCCTTAGATAGCTGCCCAAGCTCAAGTCGCAGATGTCGTAGGAGGCGCTTGCGCTCAAAGCGGTGATCAAAGCAGACGTCCAGGAGGCGACCCGGGATGACTTGGGTGCAGCATGAGACCGTACGAGGACATAATAGATGCCAGGGTGTGTTATCAACCTGCGGAAGCCTTGCCTTGGGAGGCCTTCCTGAGGTGGATGGCTCCCGGCGGTGCCGAGCGACGGCGTCTGGTCTCGATATGTGGCCCTGGTGAGGCGCTCCTCGACATTCAAGGTCTGCTTGGAGATGGCGTAGGGCCAGGACAAAGCTCTGGGAGCACTGAGGCTTATCTAGCTCTCATTGGCTGAAGCTTCGCCTGAACCTGCTGGTCCAAGGCTTCGAACTGCTGCAGCCGAGTTGAAGGGCAAGGGAGCCCAGGTGCGGAAGAGCTGGTTGAAGTTTTTTCATGCACTAGGGTTGTTCCATGCAGCTGCGCACGGTCGAGTGCCCAGCAGCCGTCGCGAGCGACAGGTCATCACTGATCCCCAAACCTTTGCACGACAGCATCTTGGAAACGCAAGGAGCTGGTACCAAGTTGCATCATGCTCCTGCGCAAAATCTGTAGCAGTTTAAAGTTTAACAAGCATTGAATATGCCTAGGCATCCCATGGGGCACAGCGTCCAGATTGAGAAGGTGATTTGCTGTTTCAGCAGCTTGCTTAGCCGAGGCAGCCGCAATGGCCAGCCTTGCCTCCGCGCAGCTGAGAGCGGCCTTTGAAAATGAGAGCTGACTTGAACTGGATCTTGCGTGGCCCTGGGTGATGATTTTGTACAAATGCGAGTCAAAGCTTAAACTGAGGGACAATGTTTTCCCGTACAACGCAGTCAGAGTTCTACACTGGTTCTGAGCTTGTACCGTGTGCCCAACCTTTAGTCTGCCGCTGCTGCCATAACAGCGTTGATAACGCCTCTCGGCAAAGTGCGGCGCCTCAGCCGGAAGCGATGGCGCGGCTTTCGCTGGTGCGCCGCAGAATTTTGTTGCAGGGATCAGATTGGCTTTCCATTCCGAAGCATAGCTGAGTAAGAAGAGCCAGTCACGGGCACAGCTGAAAAGAGCCCTCAGAGCACGGTTGCTTTGCTGCCTTCGGCGCAAGCGTCGGCAGGCCCCGCTGCTGGTTCTCGCAGCTGCGATCTTCGCCGGGACCTGTGCTGCCTGCAGCAGGAAGTAACCCTTCATTTGGCGGTTGGTACAGGCCTTCAACTTCAAGTGCAGCAGTTGTTTACTGCTCACCTAAAGCCTTGATGTCACTGCTACCGTTGCAGTCTCCGCGCCTTTCAGTCGTTCGTCATTCTCAACCAGCTAGGACATGCTACCAGCTAGTCCAACTCACGCTCCTTGCACGGCTTCTTGGATAGATGCAGCTGGCTTAAGTCTACGCCAAGAGATACCAAGAGACTCTGCACATGCTGTCGCTGCAGATTTTGTGTGGCTCAGACTCCATAGGGGAAGACGGGAAGACGAGGCCCCAACCAAAAACATGTCTGGGCTTCCACCAGGCAGCGCCACAAGTTTCTGCAGTCCTTTCGCTGGGTTGATGCAAAAGCTGAGCGCAGCGTGGTTTTGTGATATGATTTCTCGTTGATCCTGCTACAGGAAATGAAAGAGTGAGAGCTACCTGGCTCACCAAGGGCTGACTTGATTCGCACTGGTTTCAGTGTTATCCAGCAGGGTTTGTTGAACGGTGATTTCAAGCAAGTCAACCGCATGAAGTGGGTCCGATGGGTTTCACTCATCTCCGCATTTGGTGCAGGGTGGGCTGAGCATATTGACCCCAATACGGGCAATCCGCAGCCTGGCAGCAAGCAGCCTGTGCAGAAGAGAGATTTCTCAACAATGATACCAGTCACCCATATGAAACCTATCTACATGAACTACTTCTGACCCCCCCAAAATCGGCCGAAGTTTTCGAAGAGTGCCTCCAATATTGAGAAACATGAGTGTCGGTTCTTGGCTTTAGACCAGATGCTGAAGGTACTACCACAATACCGCCACGAACGAGGCCTCTGATCGGCACCTGCTCTCTATTCATGTTGAGATGATCGATATTTCTTCTTATCCTGATTAGTATCATGCAGTGGGCCAACCTGGAGCATGTTGAGATGTCCAGCTCACCGGAGCGCTCTCCGCCCAGTGCCGTAACCCCCTATCCCAAGTCCAAGTGTAAGCTCAAAGGGGTTGAACATCGAGTTACTCGTTATTGTCATCATCCTCAGAGTTGCTCATGGACTGCAATCTTGATGTTGATGCATTGTCTTGTGCTTTCCTTCAGCTATCATCACCCCCCTGACCTTGTTGCAGACCACATGGACGAAACCTAGCGCAGACGGCGGCGCGGCGCCGCCAGCGCAGGCATTCAGCAAAGTGCAGCATGTTCCTACAATGATCAGGAAATGCTTTAACTGCAATCCACCCCAAACGAGTCGCTTAGTAGAAGTCGTCACCACTAGCACCCTGGTAGGTGATGTGCAAAGAAGCGAAGAAGAGAAGAGATGGCGAACATGGATGTAAACATATTGTCATCACCACTATAGCGCATATGTGAGTATAATGACAGCTACGTTGGCTCCTGTAGTATTCAGAATACGAAAAACGATCATCACAACGTACTGGGGCTAAGTAGGGAATAGGGGAATATGATATATAGGGACTAGTTATAGAGGGATTATATGACCTTATTCCCTACTAAGAACCAGTAGCGTGCATGTTGAAGCCAAGCCGTCCTATGCACCACAGGCCCAGCCAGGTGACACGGCGGCAATTATTAGGGCTCAGGGAGTTTAGGGTTTAAGGTTCAATCATGGAGAATTAAATGGAAAAGAAAATGGAAAATTAAATGGAAACCTTAGGTCCCCTTAAAGGGATATATAGGGATATTACCCCAATAATGGAGAATCAAATGGAAAAGAGTATAACATGAATAAATTGAAACTGGGATTATGTGGTGACCGCGAGAGACCACATCCCACTCAGTGACAGTTGGATAATAGCGATAACAGGAGCTACAGTCCAAACTCCTTAAAGGGGGTTATATAGGGATTAAATAGGGGACTATTATCGGCTGATTAAGGGGAACACTAGGAGTTTAGATTATAGCTCATATGACTCATATAGTTATACATAGCCCTTAATATGTACCCTTGTATAAGTTAGCAATGACCATTTCCA